TGTGCTGTACAGCAGCTGGTTCCTGAGTTAAGACCTTGGCAAGGTTTCTTCTACATGGAGGTTACATGTTTTACTTTGAGGTCCTGCGGGATTTTTCCCCCCTCCATCAATGCAAACATAAACAGGTCACATGAATTGAAGAGGGCATTTCAAATCTCCACAGAAGCTGTTATGGCTTTGTGGGAATTTTCCAACATCATAAATAAATGTTCCGACAGGCAAGCAGCAAACAGTGCTAAACCTGAATTTCTTCAACTTTACTTCCTACTTGACCCAGACTCTGGTTTCCCACTTAATCAAAAATAGCTAAGGGCTGATTTAAGCTGGAAGGCTAAATGTTTTGTGGCTAATATACACAATTTAGAGTCAGAAGAGTGATGCTGGGATGTACTGTAATGGCCCCAAAGCTGTGAAAGTAATGCAACTTTGTATTCCAAGGTCAGAAGATATTAAATCCTCCATAAATAGTCTTTTAGCTATTTTGATGCAGAGAATAGAGTTATAGTCAAGACCACACAAACCAAGACCAAGGAGTACTGAGACTGAGACAAGATCAGTTCTTGTCTTGATCTTGGTCTCTAAGGCTACGTTCACACTGCAGCCTAAAGTGACCCAAATCCGATTTTTTGGCCCATATGCAACCTGGATCTGATCTTTTCATGGCAGTCTGAACAACACAGATCAGATTTTTTCCAATGCGACCCAGGCCACTTGGCTATGTGGTCCTGAATCCAATGCAAATCTGATCTTTTCAAATGCGACCCGTGTGTGAACGGCCAGGTCGGATTCATCAGTTCACACAGGAGATCACACACAAGTTGCATATATTTGGAAATATAAACGGCAACGCAAAAAAAAATCGGAATTGAGCATCAAGGTCTGCAGTGTTAAGGTAGCCTAAAGGTCTTGGCCTCGTTTCATTACTCCTTGGTCTCAGTTGGAGTAGTCTTGTCTCTAACACTAGTGAGAAGCAGTGCATTTGCTCTAAGTCATTCCAGGAAGATGGAGCTCATTACCGTATCTCTAAAGGGGTGTCACCACCAAACAAAGGAGCCAAATTTCAGTCACATGAACTAAGAATCTCATTCTTTGGTCATAAATCACACCTCAAGACCAAATATGGCAGAACATAGCTTGTTATATAAATACAGAACATTGCTTTAGGGCGCAGTTATTTCTTCACCAAAACAGACATGATTAACATTTATATAAGTAACGATAAGGCTCCAACTCATGTATTCATCTCCTGCTTCCTTGTATTACCCATAAGTTAATATAGATAAATTACTTCTAAAAACTAAGGGTTTGTTCAGAGTCTATTTTACTGGCTAACCAGTTGAGTATGTTTGTGTTTTTACTTCTACCAGATACAGACGGACAGTCTGTGTATGTGTATAGTTTTTTTTTTATGGTTCAGCCCTAAAGAATCTGACTGACACCCTCATTGTTGCAGAGCACAAAAATCCCAGAACGTTAGGCCTCTCAGTAGCCCTGCTATACACTGCGTGATGTGCAAAGCCAAATTACAAGAGGGAGGCCAGCGGTGGAAGCTGTGATTCCTTTGCTTCATTGAACAGCAATGTAAGAACCAGCAGGTTCCAAAAACCTCTGCCTCAACACACAGTCAGGTCTCACAGTTAGTAAGAGACAAACAGGCAAATCTTCATCACTGTCTTTTTCATGGCTGGCAGCAAACTAAAGAGATAAACTGACGTCATGAAGTTGCATGCCTTTCTTTCTCTACAGTCTGAAAATGGAGTACTATCTAACACCAGCAAATACTTTTTTAAAAAGAACTGAAAATGATCAAACTTGTATTAAAACATATAAATAGAAAGAACAGCTCATCTTTGGAATTTTTTCAGATTTGGAAAAATGGGTAATTTCATTCCTTGGATGCAAAAATAACATCAACCATCACTCTTGTTAAGACCATGCCATTATGAAGCAATAGTTTAAAGCAAGCTGCGAGGGTTAGCATATCTGTCTGTTAAACGGCATACTGCTGGTTACTGCTAGCTCTCTGACTTCTGTCATCTTACAATCAAAAACTTCAAAGTCTTTAAATCTGATTTTATTTGATAGTTTAATACAAATTTCATATGTGTTGAATGAATTTGCCTTCAGTCTTCCTGTAAGAATGAATCGGTGAACCGGCTTTTACTGGAAATCAGCTAAAGACTACCAGTTTCACACAACTAAAGAATTAAATTTTTGCAGAGTCTCCTTTGCAAAACAGAGTAATTTTAAGTATTTCCAAACAATCACAATTTCTATTTGAATTAAAGAATATGCTTCCTTCTAAACCTATCCATTCTAGCTCGGTCCTCCATGTTTATGGTTGTTGTCCTACCAGAAGGTGAACTTCCCCCTAGTGTACAGTCTAGTTTTCGTCTATGCCTTACATGTATTTAGCATAACTAAGCTTCCCATCAACTCTAACTGCATTCCATGTATCTGCAGAACAAAAGCAGGTCTTTGGCATGATTCTGCCACTTCCATATTTTACCAAGAATTTGGTGCGTTAAGAGTTGTAACTTGTGTTTTCATCACGCAGAGGGTTTTGCAAAGATAGTGTTGCAGTCAAGACCACACCCAACAAGACTAAGGAGTACCAGGACAAAGGCAAGATTAAGACCTTTAAAGGCCAAGACAAAGATCCACCCTTATATGGTCTTGTCTTTGGCTTGACCTGAAGATCTTGGCCTTGTCTCAGTACTCCTTAGTCTTGGTTGGAGTGGTCTTGACTGCAAAACTATTCAAAGAGGTCTCAGCAAAATGGATCAAGGCAGTGTCAAATTTGCGGAAATATCTTTATCAAATCCATGGTCGATCTTTAAAATAGGAAGATCACTATAATGCTATAGTAGCCTGTTTTGGCATGACCTTTAACCATTTGGAGCAATTACGTGTTAGCAATTAACATGTATAAACCATTGAATATATAAATATAAATAATTGTGTTTTTGTTACAATGAAATTAGAGTTTGTAAACTGGAGGTGCATGTGTCTGAGTATGGTGGGAACAGTAGAAAACCCCCATCCTAATAGCAGCAAAGGGCAGTTGGACCCAACCCAAGAGGTCCAAAGCAGATTCAGGCAATTCAGTCCAGCACATCTCCTCCTGGTGCCACGAATTATCCCACCTGAATAGTAACAGAGCATTGCTGCCATGGCACAGGATCCACAGTAGGACCCAGGGTACTACTTTGTACCAAAAACAGCCCCACTTGTTGTGACAGTCTATGTCTCTGGTGTTGCACCTTAAATATATCTAAACCTGAGGTGTAGAGTAAGGACAGATATGACGAAGTGGTTGGGACCATAAGGCTGTAAGGCCTATCCCCCCCACACCCCAAGACGAGTGGCAATTTCTCATTGAATACTAGGGAGGCTAAACCTCACCTGTCGATTTCATAAAACTATTGGTCAAATATGCATCGTCAAACTTCATTAACTTAGCTTTAGCTTTTAAACTGCATTAAATAAGTACTGAAATGCGACTGATTTAATGCTTATGTTGCACATCAATTAGCTGTTTATTCTGCTCTTAGACGAGATCTCTCCTCTGCTCAGGAGAAGCAGGACGCTGCCTGTCAATCTCTATAAGAAATCCCTGTTGAGGTTTGAGCCTCGGTCTATTGAAGTATAAGCAGTGAGAATGTAGAGACCTGATTGGATAACACACCAAAACATGTCACTTCCAGTGAGGCTAAACCTCTTAGGGAGAATATGGAGCAGGTTTTCCTCATGATTTAAGAAGGAAAAACGATAATTCAGTCAGAATAGTCATCTTGTGCTGAACTATTGCCATGGTTTCTGGAATGTACTATTTCAGAGTGGTTCACAAGCGCTAAAGTATCCCCTTGTAGTGATGTTTATTATGTGTCTCAACATTTGTTAATGCAATACGTGATGTTTGGATTTAATTAACATCACTGAGCCTCTCGTTTCAGAGAGCAGCAGCCGCCACTGCCCAAGAACCTCTTGATGTTTCTGTGTTTAAACGTTCTTAAGTAGCTCATCTTAAGAATTTATTTTAACTGACTTTCTTCAAACCATTTTTACACATAGACCAGATTTATGGAGCAATAAGATTAGCATATCCCATGCATGAACTGTAGATCTCAGCAGCTTCCCATAGACCCAGTTCCCATAGACTGCGTGGCTTGAGGTACCCCTCAGTGCTCTCAACATTACAGCAATATGTGGTATTACTTTATCAGTAGTGTTAATGGTAGTTGCATTTCCGTTCAATCTGTTACATTTTCTAAAATCAGCCCTTTCTGAGATCATATTTTTAACTTAATTGTTCTTTTTTGCTGCCATTTTAAGCCATTGCACATGTTTTATTTTGAATATTTGCAATTTCCCAAAATTAAACAGTGTCCTGTTTAAAGAAATCTATGATCACCTCCATAGATACAAATATATCTTTTTAACTTTTTTTTAAAAGTCTTTGAATATCTTTAATGTAATCTTTGAACAGCTTAGCTTTAAACCCCCTGAATCCGTTTAGTTAGACCCAACAGTAATGACTGAAAAAATCCACTCTTCTACTGACCCCTAAATCATCACCGGCTCATCATCTGTGAGCAGATTTGATGAACAGAAATGGATTTTGATGAGAGTTCAAGCTCTGTTTGGCTGCAAGCCCAGACTGATATCTCAGAGGAGCCCCTCAGTCAGAAAGGACTCTGCGGATGGCACCCTCAGTTTGAGAGCTGGCTATAAAGAGATTGGTGGTTCTGGCTCCTTTGAGGTGAATTGGCCATGACAGAGTCCCGCTGACAGTGAGAGCCTGGGATGTCAGAGCAGACAAACAGAGGCAGCATGGGGACTCAGGACTGATTTAGGTGAATGTGGAATGGGGCAGAAAAAAGGCGGGCTGTAAGATACTATTTGGTCAATGTTTTTGATTCATTTAAATATTACTATGAGCTTTGCTTGTTGCATTTTTGGTTTTGTTTTGGTGTTGCAACATCTACTTATTTTTGCAGGTGATTCTTGGGGACCTAAATCAGGACTGAATGTGGTTGCAACTATGGTAACGACAGGGTGGGGGTTATGGGCCCTTTCCCCTTTTGGACTCATGCTGGTCATCGGTTGGTCTGTGTGTCTGTCGCAGCAGCAGAACGTCAGCCTCACAGACTGCAGCAGAAAAGAGCATCCAATTGTCTCCAATAAAGGTAAGTTTGTTTGTTTGTTTTTTTAGCAAGAATGTGCAAGACTCAGCTTTGACTTTGTTTTGCACAAATAATCTTCTGCAGAGCTTTTAAATCTTGAATATGAAAAGCACAGTGCACATTTCTCATCGTGTTGATCATGCAAAGGCCAAAGTCCAGGGAATTAAAGCAAGTCTGTGTTAGGATAACAACTGACTTTCCTGTCTAAGCCTCTGGATTACTGTTGTGAATGTGAGCGTGTGTTTGAGTTCGCATTTAGTGGCTTTGCAGCCAAGTTCACCCAAAGCATTAAGTGATCAGCCGGATTCACAAATCCGCTGATTCAAACTTTTCTTACAAAATGCAGGACCAACATTTACAGAAACTAGGAGATAAGTTTGATAAACAATAATAATTGTTTTACTTTGAATATGACGTGTAACTAAGAGTATAATTTGGGAATTTTACAATGCCATATTAATTGTAGGCCTTTGTGTTTTCACTACAGGGTTAGTTAGAGAAAAGACCCTTAACCCCAAAGACCCTTAACCCCACACTGCTCCCTGGGCGCCGCGTAATGGCAGTCCACTTCTCCCCAAGGGGGATGGGTTAAATGCAGAGAGTAAATTTCGTTGAGCTATACTTGCGACAGTGCAATAACAATAAAAACGCTGAGGTAAGAAAAAAAAAACATGATTCCAATTTAACAACAGTAGATACCCCATATTCTCGTAGGAGGAACATTGTTGCAAAGGTAGATAAAGGACAAAACACAGAAAGAAGTAAATTAGTCATATAAGATTTTAATCTATAGGATGCACAATCTGCTTTAGTTTTTTTATTTATGGAAAAATCAAACAACAGGCAACCACAAAGCATTGGAAACAATAAAAATTACACTTTTCTTAATCCATTAAAGGTCCTCATAAAATCTAACACATTTCTTTCGAAGACAAAAAAAAAATTCTGCTTTTAAATACCTATATATTGATTTTTTTTTTTTTATTTAAATATCCAAGTTAAAATCTATTCATGCATGAAAAAATGGTCTAAAATATTAACATAATTTCAGGGTATTTAACTCAATGTTAGCATCTTATTCACCTCTTTTTGTTTCTATTTGAACAGCACAAAAATATGTCAAGCTAAGATATACATGATGCAAAGATTACCAAAACAAAAGAAACAATAAGAATTTACATTATCAAATCATTAATTATGAGGTAAAACAAGGCAGTTCAGACCTTTTAAGAAAATTTTTGTAGAGTAAGGATGTGCCAGTCTATGGCAATAACTGCTGTCAAATGTTCCTAAAGCAAAAACATCACCTGGAGGACTTCTGACCTTCATTTTATAAATTGTTTTAATTCAGCTACTATGAAGGGTTTTCAAGCATATATGGTATTTTTTTACTGAATTTATGACCAAACTTTAACCAGTCCTACCCACATTCCCTCAGAGGGGGACTTGCTGCTGTGCTTGAGAAAAAGATCAGAAATCCACGGCTGGACGTTCTGTTTCAGGCATCATTAGACAGCTGTCTTAGACAAAGATATGTTTTTGATAGATGTGAGATGGCCCTTTTGTCCTATGAAGGGCTGATTTTGCCCAGCCACTTTTTCTAAATATTGAATCATGACTTTTAACTGTATCTGAGCCAGTTGAGGCCTCCACAGCTGTAGGTGTTATAGATTCTTCTGTGACCTCACGGATGAGTGCCTCTTGGAAGCATTTTGGTAGGCTGGCTAAATATTTTGTTCATTTGTGATTAATGGTGCCCACTGTGGTTCACTGGAGTTAAGAAGCCATGGAAATACCTTTGTAATACTTTCTTGACTGATGTGTGTCCATTTAACCTCCCGGAAAACTTGAGGTTGATTGGCATATCTTTTTCCCTTAATAAATGCAATACATGTTAGATAATTTATGATCTCCTCAAAATCTCATTAGGTTCAAATATGTGCATTATCCTAGCAGAAAATGAAGAGCTGGATGTTTTATAGCTTTAACCGTGTTTGTATGAATAAAAATGCATAAATTATGGAGGAAAATTGAGTTTATAATGTCAGCTTGAGGTTCGAATGCTAAGGGCAGAAAAATAGAGAATAACATACTCCATCTTTGGCCATAACTGAGGATTTTCAGTTAATGTCAAAGCATTTTTCTCACCCAAATGTATCAGGCTTAGAGGTTAATGAAAGGTTGTGAAGCTGTCTGGATCAAGTGGTCAGATGACACAGCAGAGGAATGGGACAGACTAGTTTAAAGTCAAAGCTCAGTTGAGCATTAAGCTGCGAGGTCCCACTGAAAGCAAAAGATTTACAGACAAAGAATAAAACTTTTTTTCCCCCCCGTTTCTCACACTTGTCCATCCAATTTATTAAATCTTTTGATTTCCTCTTTAACTTTTTCCTCTTATGCCTTCTAATTCCCAGCTCTGAAGATGTGGGTGTTTGAGTTTTCCTATCCGGGAGTGAAGGATTTCTCCCAGCTAGCCATGGACGTCAGCAGAAACCAACTAATTTTAGGAGCAAGGTAAAAAGAATCAGCCCAGTTATTATAAAACCTTCTTTTAATTTATACTATATTAAAGATAGAGCAGATCCTTTATACTGTCCTTTAAACAAAAGAATGGTTTTTGACAGAAACGTCCTCTTCCAACTGAGTTTAAGCAACATCTCCCTCATCCAGGTAAGGCTGCCTAAAATATAATGAGTGTCTAGAATTCAAATTCTGAAATTCTGAATATAATTGTCGGTATAAGGACAATTTTCTCTTCTAAACTTTCTGATGCACAGACACAGTATTTAAACACCCTGAAATGTAAGACCAAGAACTGGTTATCTTTAGATTTTATTTATCTATATTTTAAGTTTTAAATTTATCACATTTAGGCAAGAACTAAAAAAAAAAAACCAAATGAAATGAAATCTCAGTATTTATCTGATTCCCCTGCCTTTCGGTATGATCAGAAACATATAGCTTAGTTGTTTTCACACTTTAACTAGGGGCTTGCATAACACACTGACACACTTCAGTATGGAAGTTGCATTGTGGCGTGGAATAACATAGCGCAGACCACGCTTAAAAATTGGGCATAAGTCAAAAATATCTGCATCATACCTGCGACAAGCTCACTGTGACACACTGCTGCAGGATTATAACCAGCACTTTAGGCTGCTAATTTTAAACAAGAAGTTAGACTTCAGCAGATAGGTTGACTTGAAGTGCTGCATTTTGGTCTGATTTAACCTTTTAGCTACTTAGCTATTGAAGCTACGGCTCTGATGGTGCTAATCACTAATAGGACAAGTTAAAGAGAACTGCAAATGAGACCTTAGTAATTGTTAAGTCTTTGTCAAAAATAATAGAATTACAGAAATAAAGTGGAAGACTAAAATTTAATTGTTTCATGGGCTGTTGTAGTTCTTACAGATAAAAGCTGTACATGTAGTCAAAGCCTTAGAAAATAGAATTAAATTATAAACCTTTGATTATTTATCATCCATATTTTGGTAATTTTTAAATAAAATGTTCTATCCTAAAAAAAAATTGGCTTTTGGTCTTAAGCGAAACATAAATCCCCTGCCTTTGTGGCATCATTGCAATTGTTTCCATTTCAGACTCTGTTTAATTGCTCGAAAATTCCAACTTCTTTATTAAAGTAAAGAATTAAACATAAACAGGCTGTTGGGTGGAGAAATCAAGTCTTGAGGTTTACAATGAATCAAACTGCACCTTAATTTTATAAGCAAAAAATGTAAGCTATCTTTCCAATAGAGCTAACCTGAACATAGACATCAACTATGGGCAATAATGAGGGAGCTTTCTTACCTAATGCCTTTTATTGGGAGGAAATGCAACATTGGTCTCAAGGTGAGAAAACCAATATCCTATATTGGGTCCAGCATGTGATGCTTCTTATAATCTGTTTGCTATTGATAACTTGATTGAATAATTTAGTCCCAAATGAAATCAGTAGTGCGTCTCAGGTAACATCAGTGGTCCACTTTACCCACCTCGCCAGACCAGTGACACAAAAAAAATAATATTAACTGATGGTAAATGAAACACTTTCCTGCATGTTTTTGCTAATATTCATTATATAAAACCCCAATGAAAACTTTTTCCACTTTTTTTTTTTTATTCAGGCAACTGAATGGGCTCCCGACGAAGACACAAAGCGTTCATGTCAAAGCAAGGGAAAATCTGAGGTCCGATGTTACAAAATCAGGCCAAACACACAATTGTTACACAAACACACAAATAAAAAACCTTTTACTCTTTGGTGAAATTACATTATTTTCCTGCAGGACGAATGTCAAAACTACATACGGGTTTTGCTGATTAGTGGAAGAACGCTCTTCACATGTGGGACCAACGCTTTTACACCTGTCTGCGTATCTAGACAGGTTGGAACTCATTACTTGTTCTAAACAGTACCCCCATATCTTTGATCAATTTTTTTGTGTATATAGAAACTAAATTTGTGTATATTTTTATTCCCTTCTGTCAGATTTCCAACATCAGTCAGATTTTGGACACAGTGAATGGCGTTGCACGCTGTCCCTATGACCCCCACCACAACTCCACCGCAATGGTGACACAGAGGGGTGAACTGTATGCCGCCACAGTGATCGACTTCTCTGGACGTGACCCGGTTATCTACAGGAGCCTGGGGAACATGCCGCCTCTTCGGACCGCACAGTACAACTCCAAATGGCTCAATGGTTAGCAGAGCATTACACCAGTTCACGCTTTTCTTTACTGAACTAACTTTCAAGTTCCACCTTATGAAATTCCACAGAAACAGTAAATAATGGCAGGCGGTGGGTTTAACCATCAGATAACTCTAAAGTGTCCAACTAATTTCTAGAATGGCTCTACATGTTCTTTATTCACGTTTGTCTGATTCATCATCAGAGCCTCATTTTGTGTCCGCCTATGAAATCGGCCGATTTGCCTACTTTTTCCTGAGAGAAACTGCTGTGGAAAACGACTGTGGGAAGATGGTGATCTCTCGGGTGGCGCGGGTCTGCAAGAACGACATGGGGGGACGTTTTCTGCTGGAAGACACCTGGACCACCTTCATGAAGGCCCGTCTTAACTGCTCACGATCTGGCGAAATCCCCTTTTACTTCCACGAGTTGCAGAGCACCTTCCACTTGCCAGAGCAAGACCTCATTTATGGCATCTTTACCACAAATGTGTAAGGATCATTTATTCAGTTTTGACATGTGACATCTTGGCTCTATACCTTCTCAATTTTACTAATCGGTTCAGATCAGATTACTATTAACATCATCTTCTTTCCTTTAGGAACAGTATGTCAGCTTCTGCTGTTTGTGCCTTCAATCTGAGCTCCATCACTTTGGCTTTCAATGGACCCTTTCGGTACCAAGAGAACCCTCGCACTGCCTGGCTCTCTGCTCCAAATCCTATTCCAAATTTCCAGGTATAAACCTCAAAGCATAGAGAATCTATTGCACACTTGGGTATTCACAGACTAACAGTAAACTTAACATCTGGACAAGTCGAATAATGTGATGTCTTCATAGAATGATGCATCAACTCGACTTCGACTTTCACTTTCAAATAGTAAACTTGGAAAAATCTCAATTTGTTAATGCCCTATTACACACTGAATTCAAATGAAAGCTGTTCCTTTCCAGTTCTTTATTTTTACAGCTATTTCACCCAAAGAATGGAAAATACTGGAATTAGAATTTAGTAGGTCTAGGTTGAGGTCTGGGTATGATTTGAAAGTAAAATGTACTGAAAATAATTTTAGGACTTTACTCTGTCTTGTTATTTCTGTCCTGCAGAAATAAAAAATGTTATAAAAAAAATACATATATATTTGATAAAAATGTGGTAACCAGGCTGTAAAATGTGTAAAAACAGTGATATACTTGAGTTATTTGTGAGAGGCAGTGGTTTGCTGAATTTCTTGAAATGGTCACAGCTGCATCTGTTCCACCATCCATTCCTTTAATCTGTAGTATTTTGGATCTATATTTAAAGACAGATCTTTACAGAAATGTTCGTTGCATATTCATGAACTTTTGTGTAGAACCAGAGCTAAAAAAAATGTGTAATATCTATGAAAAGTTTTCAAGTGAATTTTTTTTTTTGCTCTCCTCAGAAAGTCAAAATCACACATTACATGGATCTCTTACACCAAGAGAGAAATAGCCTTTCTTTTTTGTAATTTCTATAATTATGGCTTACTTGTAAAACAAAGGACAGCAGGAATTGTTGAACTGGTGAAAAGGTACCAGCCTTGAGAGGATTATCAAGCAAAATTCTTTTTCCCAGCTGTCACAAGTACAACACAACGAAATATACCATCTGCATTTAATCCATCTCCTTGAGGAGCAGTGGGCTGCAACTGTGTAGTGCTTGGGGAGCAGTGTGGGGTTAAGGGTCTCTAAGTGCCAGGTTAAACGTTGTTGTGCAACAAACGTTTCTATAAAGATCTGTCTTTAAATATGGATCCAAAATACTACGACTATATGGACAGATGGTGGAGACTTTGAGGGCTTTTAATAAATGATATACGAGTTTCACTTTCTGAAAATGAGTAACAAAACATATTGACCTTTTTCACATTACCTTTCTAGAATACCTAGAGACAGCCCAAAATGGCTCGAGGAGCCTATACAGTTTTAAAATGAAAGTTTTAACAATAATCAAAGAGTTAATACGCACGTTTATAATATTTGTGATACTAGCACATCACAAAGAAAGCATTTTGAAGAGCCGAAAGCTGTTTAGAAGAAAAAAATATCTCATTTGTGGACGCCAAAATGTGAAATACAGAATCCAGAACATAACGTTTTCAATTATTTGTGCCTTTTGATCCCTATTTTAGTGTGGCACACTAGAGGAGGATGGTCCAGGGGGAAACCTGACGGAGCGCAGCCTTCAGGACGCGCAGCGGCTGTTCCTCATGAACGATGTTGTCCAACCCATTTCCGTCAACCCTTTGCTTACACAGGACAACATGCGCTTCTCCAAGCTGGTGGTGGACATTGTGCAGGGCCAAGATGCTCTCTACCATGTCATGTACATTGGCACAGGTGAGAAAGGGAGATTTTTTTTTCCTCTGTAAAATTCTGAATAATTTTCTTGGCAGTTAAAACCCGATTTGGTCTGACCAATCAGATTATGGCAGCATCCTGAAGGTTCTGGCTACGACCAACAAAAGTCTTCATGGCTGCTACCTTGAAGAGCTCCGGATCCTCCCTGATGGGCAAAGGGGAACAATCAAGAGTTTAAAAATCCTTCAGAAGGACAGGTCGCTGTTCGTGGGGCTGGATGACCGACTGGTGAAGATCCCATTGGAACGCTGCTCCAGTTATCCAGCTGAACGGTACAAACCAACCGCCTTTTATACGAGACTCAGAATTACCAGCCAGATGTAGAATCCCTCACAAAAGTTTTAGACATCCAGACTGAAATCCTTATATGAACATCAGATATCATTTAGACAATGTTTTGATCTAAGCTATAGTATTGTAGCACTGGCAGCATTTTCACTTATGCCTAGTAGGTTCATCATCCTGCTGGTGGGCAAGGACCATCACAAACTCACATCTTTGGCTGCATCCTAAAAGTCTTAGTATAGGCTTGTCCTGTATATAGCTCCAACCATTTCCCCATCAACCCTAATCAGATTCAAGAAATCTGTCCCACAGCAGGATGCTACTACCACCATCTCTCATAAGAATTTTTCAATGTTTGGATATTGCAGTTTCTGCATTTTCCCCAGCGCTGCTCATAGCAAACTGCAAAGGGAACTTCCTGTCAGGTTTGGTTGATGTTTGTTGAAGACCCAGATGCAGAGATGAAGAGAAGGAGATGATTTCTTAAAGATTTAATGAAGATGTTAATAGTACAGAAGCAAATAATCCAGAAACAACAGGCAAGGAAATCAGGAATCAAAAACTAGGATATGCTCAGGAAAACTAACATAAGGAATAAAATAATGAAGAGAATCCAGCAATGAGGCACCGCAGAGGAAGAGTATATATGGGACACAAAAAAAAGATTGGGCTAATCAGCTGATAGAGAGCAGGTGTGAATAGAAGTACCTAGAAGGGAGCTAGGGGAATGGAGACAAAGGGCAGAATCATGACACTTATTGAAGCTTTTTCTAAACAATTTGTTTGTGAATCTCTTAAGTTTCCCAAGAATTATTATCTCTGATGGCTTTCCTTGGGCACCGTCTTAGTTTTAACTAACAACCATGCCTTGGTTGAGATTGTGTCATACTTTTTGCAGATTATAACTAAGCAAATCTATCTGAGACATTCACAGCAAAATGATTAAGACTTGAAGTTTATGCAGCAGACTAAATGGGACTGGATAAGAATGTACACCAAATATTTCATATTTTTATTTTAAAATATCTTGAAAACAATACATTTTTCTTCAGCCATTACCAAGTTCTTAATCGATTATAATGATAATTGATCTCACATTGGAGAATTTTACCTCTGTATTTAACTCATCCCTTTGGGAAGCAGTGGGCTGCCATCGTGGGGCCCTTTGGGAGATTAAGGGTCTTGCTCAGAGACCCAGAGTGGCAGTCTTTGGGAGTGGGGATTCAAACTCAGAACCTCAGGATTCAAAGCTCTATGCTCTAACCTCCTAACTCCTGTTTTTATCCCCTCTGATTACTCTTTTAAGTTCTCTGGTTTCCAGAGAACCCTTTTGAAAATTACAAAAAAGAGGTGAGGCTTTTTCCTCTGCTTTAGGGACTGTTTGGAGGCTCGGGACCCTTACTGTGGATGGGATCTACAGAAGAAGCGCTGCACTACCATTGAAGGGAGCTCCAATATGAACCACTGGACCCAAAACATCACTGAATGCCCAGTAAGAACGAATAATATACAGTATATCTGGCAAACTGCATTTTCAGGCAATAGTGATTAAGTGTGATATGTTTGCCCCCCCGGAGGTCAGGAACCTGACGCAGGATGGTGGTTTTGGTCCCTGGGCAGCGTGGCAGCGTTGTAACCATGATGATGGCGAGGGCACTTTTAGCAGCTGCAAGTGTCGGTCCCGCTTGTGTGATGGACCGGTGGCCAGATGTGGGGGGGTTGAATGTAAAGGTCCAACAATCCAAGTGGCAAACTGCTCCAGGTACAGTTCATTTCAACAAAAATGCTCAGGATTTTAAAACCCATCTCTAAAAAATATATTACAGCAGACTGAACAATCAACTAAATTTTTTTATCAGATCAACTTATCAAGTGATGTCAAACTTTATCCTCAGTGCTAATTTTTAAAGACAGCTGCTGGTGGTTCTAAAAGTTGATCCCATGCATCCTTAGCTGCTCATTTCCACAGTGGCAAACTTTCACCCTTCCTTCTCCTGTTAACTCAGGAATGGTGGTTGGACTCCCTGGTCCTCCTGGGGTCAGTGCAGCAGCAGCTGTGGCATTGGATTTGAGGTAAGGCAGCGGACCTGCAACAACCCTTCACCCCGCCATGGAGGTCGAATCTGTGTTGGCCAGGGTCGGGAGGAAAGGTGAGGAATGTCTTTGCTGCAGTCACTACAAACTCAGTCAGTGCTGACAGTGGAGATGCTGCACATCTTTGTGATTTTGCAGGCTGTGCAACGAGAAAAAGCCATGCCCCCTGCCTGTGTTGTGGACAGCTTGGGGGCCCTGGGCTCACTGCAGCGCTGAATGTGGTGGAGGAGTCCAGTCTAGGACTAGGATATGTGAGAACGAGAATAACTGCCCTGGATGTGCAATGGTAGCGGAGACTTTGAATACAATCAAATGTGTTTGTAGGGAGAAGTCTGTAGAAAATCTAATATTTTTGTTCTTGAAACAAACTGCAATGCCTAAAAATGTATAGAAGATTCTGAATGTTCTGATATCTTCAGCATATTTTTTTTCGTACAACACTATCTTCTTAGATGGACAGTTAGACAGAGATGTGTCCTTCAATATAAACATGTAATATTAGGATTCCTACGATACGTTTTCCAGGAGTACAGAGTCTGCAACCTGGAGAGTTGCCCAGAGGTTCGCCGCAACACTCCTTGGACCCCCTGGATGCCAGTCAACATCAGTCATGAAGGATCACGGCAGGAGCAGAGATTCAGATACACATGTAGAGCACCACTCCATGACCTCCAGCAGCTCCAGCTAGGAAAGAAGAAACTGGAGACCCGTTTCTGCCCCAACGATGGCTCTGGAGCTTGTCAAACCGATTGTAAGTAGTGGACATGGCTGCATAACAACTCAAAAGAACATCGACCAGTAAATCCAACATTCTTCTTCCCGATCTTAAGTTGATGGCCACCAGTATTTGTCAAGGCAGAAGAATGTCAATACCAGTTAGATGACTGGGAGGCATGAGTGGCTCTAGACAGTGATCTGTACAGCTTGTCCTGGGCCCTGTACCCTAGACATAGTATGATAAACAAGAATTTATGATAAGATGTATGCGCTGGCAAAGAAACCACATCGGATTGGTCCCAATTTCATTTGACAAATTTCTGTTTAAATTTTTACAGTTATACTTTAGTCACCATGAAAAATGAAGGTAGTCCCCTCATAGCCTCAGCCATGTTGAGATGGGTTAACAGTTCTCAACTGTTAAAAACAGGGATCTGCAACCCTCAGCTCCAAGGCCATAGATGGCTTTATGATTCTGTGGCTCACTTATTATATTAAACAATTGACTATTCCCTATTTTTGTTTTGTGTAATTTTTATTGATTTGTGCCCACATGATAAAACCACTGGCCCCAGTCTGTCCCCCATGGTAAATTTGGTTTACAACCGCCAATTCCCGGAGGGTAACTCGAGTTAACTGAACCCTAAAGACCAGACTAATAATTTTTAGCTGACTTTCATTGAATCCAAGATTAATTCCCTCCCAACCTTTGTTCATTATTTCTTTTCTCACTAATTTCTTCCTTCTTTTCCCTTCATTAGTTCATCGTTTTTTTAAATCCTTCCAAATGTTTTTTTCATTCCTTTCTTTAAATGTTCTACCGAATTTCTTTTGCTTTTTTATTCCCTTTATTTCTTCCACTACTTTGTTCTTTGTTCTAAACCTGGGTTACACATTTCTGTTGGCTTTGTCTGAGGGCCTACAGTATAAATGACTTTCTGGGTGTTCAGTTTGACACATATTTTAAATTAATTATTCATAACACGCTGACTGCTGTATCTGGGAGGGTAATTACCCGAGTCTTTCTCTGAATTCATGTACAACTAAAAGGGTTGAATTTTCTGAGCCAGTCACTCGCTCAACGGAATTGAAATGAAAAAAAAAAAAGTAAAATAAAAAGTATTTTCCTTGGATTTCTAGCACTAGTTGAAGAATTGGTCAGGACCAGTGGCAGAACTATGTCTCAGCCTCAAGGTGCCCGATGGGGACCCTGGGAGACGTGGTCCAGCTGCTCCCAAAAGTGTTCCAGAGGTTTCCGAACCAGAAAACGTAGCTGCTCCACGTCAGAAGGCAGGACCAACTTGGCGGCTTGTTCTGGATCCCCAGTGGAGTATCAGGACTGTAACGTCCAACCCTGCCCAGGTAGCAGCACAGTTCAGTCACTCTAGTTTTAAAACACTGGCACATTGCATCAATAGTTTTTTATATGGGTGCTTAACAGTGAGTGGAGCCTGGTCATGCTGGTCTGCCTGGTCCCAGTGCTCAACAAGCTGTGGAGGGGGCCACTATCAACGGACACGGACATGCAGCAGCCCGGCCCCTGCCAATGGGGGGGACATCTGCATCGGCCTGCATACAGAAGAGGCCCTCTGTAATATACACCCCTGTGAAGGTATTTAGTGCATGCATTGAGTTCCAATAGATCAATAAAGTAAGACTTTCTTTACTCTTTGCTATTCAACAAAAACTGTGTTATAGTCAAAACCTCACCACAACAAAACATGGTGCTGGCAGAATCGTGTTGTGCAACTGTGTTTGCAAGAGATTAGAGACTAGAATGGACCAGTAAGACCAAACTTAACTGGAGTGGTTCGATAAGCATCGTCATGTGTTAGAACGGCCTCTTCAAAGTCCAGATCTAAGAATCTAGAAAACGGATATTCAGACATTTTCCAATAAAAAAAACCCGTATTAAAGTTTTATGTCTGGACTGGCAAAGCTGGTGTAAACCTCTAAACGGGCTTGCAGCTAGAATTCAAGAAAAAGATAATTCAACAAGGTGAATTAGACAGGTTAAATACAAATGCAAAATACACTTGGTGTTGGCCTACCACATAAAATGCATATAGGCAGTGTTGGGCACGTTACTTTGAAAAAGTAATTAGTTATAGTTACTAGTTACTTCTACCAAAAAGTAACTGAGTTACTAACTGAGTTACTCCACAATAAAAGTAACTAGTTACTAGTAAAAGTAACTATTGCGTTACTTTTGCGTTTCTCGCCCCCGTAACCCTCACCACCCAGCCCCCACCTTCTCGCCGTGTGTTTCCAAAGCCAGCTGAATAGAGCGAACGACAAAGACAAGAACCTGCAGAGAGTTTTGCATTTATTGCAACTGGTGAGTATATGAAATTAATAACTGGGGATGTCTAATTCGGAAATCCTGTGTACTGCAACATCTATCTATCTATCTATCTATCTATCTATCTATCTATCTATCTATCTATCTATCTATCTATCTATCTATCTATCTATCTATCTATCTATCTATCTATCTATCTATCTATCTATCTATCTATCTATCTATCTATCTATCTATCTATCTATCTATCTATCTATCTATCTATCTATCTATCTATCTATCTATCTATCTATCTATCTATCTATCTATACTCTGTGTGTGACATAAAATATGGATCTCCATTCCTGCCACAAAGGCCATCAAATAATGTTTAAAAAAAAAATACAGTAGGTTGAGAAGGCAGAGTATCCATCCATCCATCCATCCATCCATCCATCCATCCAGATTTCTCCCTTTCTCCATATAGGCTATCATTTGATCGTTCACGCTCTCTATAGTTCTCCTGTGGCGTGAGCACAGGGCGACTGTTGCGCGCCTTTAGCGAGCATGCGCGTTTCCTGTCGCGGAGTGCGCTGTGCGCTGTGCGGAGATGCAGGGGAAACCGTATGTGATGGGGAAACGCAGCTCGACCTAACACCGGTATTTCTATCAGGAAAACGCTGTTTTGCTGCTGGAGTCATCCTCACTCTCCATCTCTCTGTGTGTGCTGTACGTTAACACCCGCCAGCGGAAACACCCACCTACCCAACTGACAGATGGAATCTCACTCATCAGCCATTCTCATCCTCCCCTCTCTCATGACAAGGCGCGCACCTCTGGATGACCTAAAAATAATCTTTAATATCTCTTAAACAAAAGTAGCACAAACAATATTTTTTTCTGCACAAATCTGCACTAACGTTGCACTAACCATTCAGTCTATTTGCAGAGTTTTTTTTGACGTGGGTGAGGTGTCAGCTTCACGCAGCTGCGCACGAGTCTTATCATGAAAAAAGGTTAATTGTGCGACCTGAGTAACGCGCAGTAACGGGGTGTATGGAATGGTAACTGCGTTATAGTTACAGTCAAAGTAATTAGTTAGATTACTCGTTACTAAAACAAGGTAACGGCGTTAGTAACGCCGTTACTTTCAACGCCGTTAGTCCCATCACTGCATATAGGATACGCTAAAGTTTGTTTTACCATGTCAAAATGTGAAACATGTAAAGGGGTTTGATGCTATTGCAAGGCAGGTAAATAGATATAAAAAGCCTGAGTTAAACTAAATATATTTAAAATCTAACTTGCAAAGAACGTCAGTGCAAAGAAAGTTGGTGTTTTTCTCAGGTTCCCTCTGTTAAAATTATCTTTTGTTTGCTTTTCCCAATAAATATCTTGTTTATATTTTTTTAGATAATAAAAACCATAACTGCCATTTAGGATTTGCTATAAGCTGTTCTGTGGTGAGGTTATTTGACTTTTTAACCAGAAATACACTGGACTAATTCACTGTGTCACCACAGGTTATAAAAATGGTGCACAAATGGACAAGCTATAAAAACCTCCCACAAAAAGATCAATATTTGCAGAAGAAGGAAACTATTTTAGGTGTTGGACCTGACCAGCATAGACAGGCTGAAATATGTGAGGGGAAGAGAAAATGGTGTAGGAGAACTGCCCAGTATTGAGCTATAACCCCCCTCAAAAACAACAATAACAAAAAAATAAATAAATAGATAAAAACATGTTATTGTTTCTATGCACTGTGTTTGCAGGGTGGGGTGAATGGACTGACTGGGGTGAGTGTGACGACGAAGGTCTGCAGCATCGCAGCCGTCGCTGTGGTGAGGAACAGGAAGCTGAGGCCAACACCTGTCAGGGAAACCTTACTCAGTCCAGACCATGCCGGCCACATGAGGTGCCAGGTAAGCCGGTTGAATTTCTCTAAAAAAAAAGAAATTTAATTTATTTATTTATTTATTTATTTTTTTTATTTACAACATAATTATTTTCTTCTCCAATCTCTTTTTTCTTGTCTTCAGTGATTTTACCAGAACAGGAGAACCAGAGCTGTGGAGGTCAGTCTGCTCTTTAATAAGTTTTGGGATTTTGTTGTCGTTTTGATGTGAGGGGAAAAATAAATAACAATGTTTTGCTCAGGTCACATACTAAAAAAGGAGCCTGTTGGCATGAATTCAGATTAGATGCCTGTAACGTCAGCTTTACTGTGTTTTTCTGATAATGAGGTTTCTTAGCCTAATGTGTAAGATCCTAGTCTATTCTACTCTGAGGGCCTCATATTCAAAAATTCCAAACAAGAGGCACTAAACTATATGTGCATTGTTTATAATTTTTTTTAGAGTGTGCAATAAATTGATGTGTTGAAGGTGATCTACAAAGATTGCTGTGTAAATGTAAGGATGGGCAAACCAGTTTGGTTGCACCTATTACAATAAGCGGATTGCTAGCTAAGAGTCATCATAAAAGGAAGAAGAGGTTCAAAGCCATGTAGTTGAAAGAAGTAATTAAAAAGAAACCCAAAAGAAATAATTATAATAAGAAATTATATTTATGGAACATATCTGTAACCTATGTCTAAGTGCTACCGATAAAAGTAAAAAAATTTGATTGAAATTTACTCAATAAAAATAAAATATTGTAAAACAGGTGCAAACATATAAATCATAACTCTACTTTATACTTTGCTGAATTGTGGTGAAAAAAAAAAGCTTTGCACCGATAAAGAGATGCACAATCTCTCTTTGCAGGCTCTTTTGGTAATCTACCTTTTAATGTAATAACATGCCAATTCATTTTTTTTTTTTTTCAGTTAATGTAAAAGATGTCTGCAGTCTCGCCTCATTAATTTGTACCCATCTAGACATTTTTCCCTACTAATATTGCACTACAATTGTTAAATCTGACCGTCCAGCTATTCTTTATACTGTATGCACACAGAATGCCTCCTTTGTGGCAACAAAAACAACAGATATTTTTGCATGTCAGTTTGCACCTGACTTTCACAAGTACTAAAAACTGCATATTGATGAAGGCAAACACACAGATAATGGTTTGCACATGCTGTACGTAGAGTAGATCTTCAAAGGTTTGCAGGTGTTTTAGATGTGCAAACCAAGTGAAGATTATGCCCTTAGACTAGTGCTAGTATGTTTACCTAACGGTTGTCAAGGTTCTAAGAGAGTTTCTGGTTTTTTCCACCACTATTTACCTGATATACCTAATAAACAAGCTTCCGTGCCTTTATTTTTTTTAACAGTAGTGTCTTAAGCAGTGAATGGGCTTAGAAGCTGTAGTGGCTAGTTACATTAATTAACTGGTTTCAAGGACAGAGGCAGTTGGATTCCAGCTCCTCTTACCTCCTTTTAGAGGTACCTTTTTTTTTTTTTTGACAATGTGAGAAAATCTTGAGAGGCACCTGAATACAGTAACGTGAAGCAATCATCCCACCCACTAAAGAAGGTTAACAAGTCCACTGTTGTCTTCAATGCCAGCAAAGGAATACCATATTATGTTATGCAATAACTTGATATTCTGAATCAAGAGCAACAGTTTGGTCAGATGGTGACATCATTGCAAAAATAAATTCTTACAAACAAAAGAAGTGCAAATGAAAGTTTAACCTGCACAAATCTAAAGGACACTTCCCCCTAGCTCTTACAATTATTGGGACACACAACCCTTACACCTTAACGTGCAAAACTGAGTGCTAGGGCCCAAAACGAGTGCAAGTGATAGAAATTGGGCAGGGCCTTAGCTTCCAGATGTAAATTCTGGAGCTGAGGAGAAAAGCTAAAGAGATCCTAAGTAAGGTAGCAAGACTGGACAATCGAGAGAGATTGTGGATTGTGGCTTTGGAGTGGTCTAAGCCGAGAAAACACCATTAATATCCCTATGCCCAACCATCAGAGAACCCTGCATAAGATGTTCCTTGAGGAATAAATCCACATTTCACTCACAATGGGCTACCATATCTTTTCCTTCTTCCTCTCTGTTTCCAGCCTTTACCTTGTTCCAGTTGGTGGCGGTGGGCTTAGCCAGCTTCTTTGCTGCAGCTCTCCTCTCAGGCCTGGCATACTCCTACTGCCACCACCTGAACCGACCATCGGCCGAGTCAGCCGTCATCCATCCCAGCACACCCAACCACCTGACGTACAACAAGCAGGGCAACATTGCGCCAAAGAATGAGAAGTACATCCCAATGGAGTTTAAGGTGAGCCAGCTGCAGTTTTGGGAATCATCAGCTGATTTTTGGGGTAAAAGTCAGAGACCCCTGTCTTCATGATCCTTCCAGGGTGTAGGCCTACCCTGTTTCTTTGAGTTTCTCTTCCTTTTTGTTGAATCATAAAGTATAACTTTGACATGTGAGGCCTATAGTACTTATTCACTTCTTTCTGTGCTCTATGAGTCATTAAGGTAGATTGGTCCAAGTTGTGGATAATAGCTCTCACCGTGGTTCCCAATAGTTAAAAAGTCCTAAAATAGGAAAAGACATTCTTTTCTCTAAGCTATTGTTTGATTTTATTCTAAAGGAACATGATTTGTCCATTTTTCTGAAAACTTTCTGTCTACCTCATGTTGCCATACTCTTTCTACTCAAATGGTTTCTTAATTCTAGAGGACTGGGAGTAACAAGGAATAGATCTGGCTGATCAAACTTTGACATGTGAACCAAAATGTGTTTTTGTATTTTTTTTCAATCAAATGATTTAGTAATTTATCAAAAAGTGACTTTTTTTTCTTTTTTAAACTCATTTGAACAATTAATGTGTTGTGATAATCCCAATTAAAACATTTTATTGTTAACAAAAAAAAAATTAAACACTCTCTTCTTGCTGCAGATGCTAAACAAGAACAATCTTCATGTGAACGATGAGACGTGCAACCACTTCTCCTCCCCGATGGCCTCCAGCAACATGTTTACCACCACCTACTACCCTCCCTGTGTGAGCAAGTACGACTTCCGTCCGGACTCCCCCTGCAGGTCCTACATGCACAGCTGAGAGGGGCTCACTCTGGGGTCAACAAACACAAACATTCCCTTTTTTTCTTTTCTGCGCCTCCGTGAACAGTTTCCTTCTTGACATTAGAGGAGGAACAACCTGGAGGTTCAACATCAGAATGTTATTATATAAACTTTTGTTTGGGTTTTATTGAGTAGATACATTTTTGATAAAGGTCCAGTTTTACCCTAAACCAGAAATGTCCTATTTAAGGAAAAAATCCAAATCTCACAGTGACACTTGTGCATTGATGCAGTAATGCATGCATAAGGGGCCCTGACCAAGTACTGAATGCATATATTGGACAGTACAGGGGCATTTTTCTTAGCAGGCTAACATTTCTGCATGAAATGAGCTATAACTGTAGCTTCTATGTAATGCTCCGCCTTCCTTAAGAAACTAAATGTTGGCTTTTCACTAGCGGTAAGCCGCAATCATGAAAATTATCTGAAATTAACTCAAAAAAACATTGATTTCCGCTTTTTGGATGGAAATACTGTATCAAACGAATTTTCTGATGATATTCAAATCTACTTAAAATGTTCCCATTGTCATTTTTTATTTGTTCATTTCCTGGTCTCACAAAGTCAATTATAAACAAAGGGCTGGGTTTGGTCAGACTGACGAAGACATCACTCATAGAAGCTCACTGAAATCAAAATGAAATCGTAGAAGACTCAAAAAGGCAGATATGATTTCTTAAATACTCTCTGAAAGGTAAAACCAACACCTGCAGCAGCTGAGGTGAAAGCGACAGAGAGGTTTTAACCAACAGGGCTGGACATCACCGGAGGATGATTGACCGCAATCTAACAACAACCATCCACCTGTCATGAGGACATTTTTTACATTTTTGAGACCCTCATGAACTACGGACTGATTTAACCTCAGCTGGGATGCATTGAATAACACATGGAGACACTAAATGGATTTATTCCTTTAAGTGCAAAACTACGGCTGACTTGCTTTAATTTTTTACTTTGATCCAACAATGAAAAGTCAACTAAATAGAAAATGTTGTGATCTACTCGACGTTGCTCACGTTGCAGAATATATAAATGATCTTACATGCGTTCCGTAGAAAAACTAAAACAAGGAAAGTATTTGGTATGTTTCCCTTGAGATGTTTCTTCTTGACATGCTTCTTTTAGCAATCAGCAAGTTTCTGGGACATTTCTGGATGAATATTTGATGACGTACTCGCTTTTAGACATTGATCATAAATTTTCAATGGGGTTGAGGTTGGGGCCATTTCAGAAATGTTATGTGAGCACAGTTTGACCATTTTAGTCCATTTACCAGAGTCGATTCGTTACCAAACTATCAGATGACATTTCTACAAAATCAGTAAATCAATGGTGTAATAATACTACACACAGCATCAACAACCAAAGTAGTCGGTTTTGCTAATTTTCAAGAGATGCTTTGATATTTTTAAGCACTTTAAATACTGTAAATGTTTATTGTCAAGTTTAATTTAAAGACCCCATACTGGTTTATTAAGTGGGGTCATGACCCCTAATTTTTTGCAATCAATATTCTAGAGGTTTTGGGACAACATTAAGCTAAATTGTTTTACCAATTTAGATGGAATTGATGGAAAAATGTGGATGTTCCAACGGGATGGTGGTCTCAAAAAAAAAAAAAAAAAAAATCAAAACTGGCTCTAGAGTGAAAACGGCTTACATAGAACTTTTGGAATGGCTCAGACTCTTAACCCTATTGGATATTTTTGAGTTATGCTTTCAAAAATGGATCAATGCTAGGAAATCGATGTTCAAAATTACTTAACTAATACTCCTAAGGAGTGAGGCTATCCCACTATCATCAGATGCTTGTAGATTACCATAATGGAGGGGATTTAGTTTCCAAAAGGTCTTTTTACCAAATATGAATAGGAAAATCTACACACACAAAAAAGTATTTTAGTTTTCGGTTGTTTATTTCACTCTCATCTAAACCTGTAAATAAAAAAAATTAAAAAATAAGGACAAGTAACTCATAATAAGCCACAAAATATTATAACAATAATTGTATCTTTAAACATCTGAGGGCATCCTGAGAATAAATTAGGCAGCCTTTGTTTCTTAAATTGAATAGAAACAAATCATCAATAAGTCATAAAAGGAAAAAAAAACAACTCAAAGCAATCAAGCTACTTTATATGATGTGTAAATACTGTATAATTTGAATTCTTTTATCATTAATTGTTTGTATATTGGACAACCAAGCGCTCTGGAAAAAGGTTTTTGCCCTATAAAAGTTGATTCTTTCTTTTCTTCATAATCATGTCTGTTCTTTTTACAAAGATGCATAAAAAACATTTTTAAATAAACATTGAATGTAATTTAAATGTATTTCCCCAGAGATAAAACAAGGGATCCAAAATGAGAAAGAAGTTGCTACATTTGTTTTGTCACAATGTCAAATTTAAATGTAGATTAAAAGATAATAGGACACAAATTGATATAAAGCTTACTGCTGGCAAACAAATCCTTTAAATTTGCTCCATAGTAGATTGAGAATATGCATCAGCAGGCATCAGTGGCAGATTTCCCACTTTAGTCCACTAAAGGTTCAAGAGATAAAGTCTTTTTCTTTGCACTATAAGATGGCTGTAAAATTAAAACAGAATACAAAATATATAAATAAATTTTGTGACATGGTTTCTGTATAAGTACGAATTATGAAAATAGATCATAAAGTAAACTGGAGACATTCAAAGTTTACATTAAACATACAATAAACTGGAACATTTCTTTACTCTTGCCACTGCAACTTGTGCCAAATTATGATTGTTTGCTTTTTTTCTTAAAAAAAATGTAGTATATAGCAAAAAATAACCTTTAACAGTTTGCTACAATTTTTGTTCAATTCTTGGTGATGTTGATAAAAACTCAACTTATAACAAAGAATCTAAGACTAAACAAAATGTTTACTTATTTCCACTATAAAGAAGAAATCAAACTCGTTTTCAGTATCAAATTTTGTCCATCAGGGCTTCTGCACAATTAACTACAAGATAAACCTTTGCATAAATATGGTAGGCCTTGCAATAGTATTCAACCTACCACATGATCTGTCCTGAAGAAAACCTTTCCCACAGCATGATGCCACCACATCCATGTTGCAAAGTATACTTTTGTTTAAGCATGCAGACTAGTAGGTTCTTATTTTGTCTCATCTAACCAGACTAATGGTTTTGCAACATAGCCTGTCTAGAACCTTTTATGGCTTTATTTAAACAATTAAAATTCAAATCTCTTGAATGAATTAGTACTTGTCCTGTCGAGCCGCTTACAGTATATTTTCAGCAACTGTGGAGCTCTAGATTCTAATTCTCTAATTGCCCAACCTGCCAGTTAAAGTGGAGAGCAATAATTTGAGGGATGTAAGGCGTTAAAACTGTTTAATACTAATGCATGTCACACTTTAAAGGTTTGTATTTGCAAAGACAACATAGAAAACTATGTATGTTTCCCTTTTACTTCACAAGTGAACCCTACTTTCTATTGGTGTTCTATAAAAAACTTTTTTTTTTAATCCATTGCTGCTTGTGATTAAAACTTGTGAAATGTGAAAAATCATTTTGAAAGGCCATGGGCATTAAGCATGTATTTTTTAAAAGACTAAACTGTTTTATTTATTTTGCAAAGAGAGTACAAGCATTCAGCTGGGAATCAGAAAACTCTAATTCGAATAGAGAACTGTTACACATGCTATGCTCATTGAACCCTAAAACACATTTCCTTATTCTATGAAACACTTGCTTGATGTGAATTTGAGAGAACACTGCAATTTTTTTGGATGCTGTAAACTTTTTGGTACTTTATATTTTTGTATATATACTGTGAAAAACAAACAAACATCCAGTTGAATAAATAAATGTTGATGGTAGTATCTTTCATTATTCCTGAGATCCAGAAAACGGCAAATGTCTCTCGGGCTTACTGAGATCACTTCTGACATTGTTTTGTGTTCGGCTACAGTATTTAGGCGAGACACAAAGCAAAAAAAACAAGGAAAATAACCGTATTCTTTGGAGTATGGAGCACACCTCAATATAAGCCGCACCCACTAAGTTCTTTGAAAAAACTGGAAACGTAAATATATAAGCCATGCCTGCTGCTAGCACGTTCTTGTGCTTCTTTCATTTCCAATTTTGATTTCACCCTCTGATGGTCAGGAAAAAACCACAGACAGGCTGCACCTCCATATAAGCTGCATGGTTCAAAGTGTGGGAAAAATTTGCAGCTTTATGCTTATAGTCCAGGAAATACGGTAAGTCATAAGGTTCCCTCTGCAGAATCTTCTATATGTTAAAAAAAAATGCTTTTAATAGCCTCTATATTAAAAAAAGAATTTATTTCTTGAATAAGAGACATAATAATTGTGTTATTTTAAACACTGCATAACAGTACCCCTGTTTTTAGATATGGGAAAGTGTAGGGGCCACTTTGTTTTGGCCATTTCCTGCTTTATGAAGAAAAGACCACATCTCAGACTAACAACTGCCATGTCATCTTTTCCCAGAAGAAATAATCCTCTGCGTCACTTCATATTTATTCTGCAGGAAAGCAGGGATTAGCAGATTACAGTACAGTAGACAAATCACATTTACCATTTTGAAGAGACTTTAATAAATCAGCCTTTGTGATGTCAGATCTTTACTCCAATGAAACAGGAAAAAATATTAATTAAAGGTTCAGATATAAATAGTAATGTTTATTTCAGAGGAACTGTTAGTAATTATTGCATGATTTTTGACACTAAGTTTTTGCATTCAAGCTTCAGTTTTGAATAGCTTGATTTACTCCATGATAGTTCTTACTCAGGCTAGCCCTTCCATCTTTCAACACTCATCCGATTAAAATGCAAGGAATTATCAGAGCAGCAGACCCCAACTTGACGAGAAGACACAGAAAACATCTTGAGGATGCAACTTGCAGATAAACACAGTTTATTTGGGTGCTAGTGTGCTTCCACCTTCAGCAATCACCCAAAATCTTAACACCAATGTTTGCTGCCAAGTATAGAGGAAGCTGGAAGGGAAGGGTTTCAATTTTGGTTTGTCTTTACAGCATCTAATAGCAATTCAACTAGAATTTTATTTTTATTTTTTTAAAAGGAAAGCAGGTAAACAATTAGTGGAAAATTCACACTTTACAATTAAATCACCAGGGACAGACCAAACTGCAGATATGTACACATATATACCATCTAATTTAATCATTTGTTTCTGCCCAATGCACACACTTAAAGGGTTGAACCGTTATTCCTTGACTTGCAGAAGCACATAACTGTCATTACTGTCCCATAATACACTAAACTAGTTGTAAAATGCCATTAACTCTATTTCTCATCTTTAATTAATATATTAATGTGAACAATTACAGTATTTTTTTAAACTAGCAAGCAGAACATTAGGACGTTCCACCTGAGCGTATCACTACCGCCATCCTTCTGTTGTAGAGAGGTACTGCTTGTTAAATTGAATCCGTATGAAAACCAAAAAAGTCAGAAAAAAATCACTTGGTAGGGGTTTGGATTGCCAGTACAAACACATAGTGTTATTATAAAATTCTGATCCGATGCATTCATCAGAGCATATAGTCTCTGAGGCGAAAAAATATATCAACTATAACTAAGAGGAAATCAACAGAAGATGGCACGAGCTGCTCATATGTGACCCATCTTCCTTCTTTTTTCTCTTTGGTAATGAAGAACACAGGTGGACATGTTTTCTTATGTTGAATCTGCGCTGCTTGTTATTGTAAGAGTGGGAAAAAAGTGCTGAAGTGATGAATAATAGAAGTCGCTCCGAAAGATGTACAGGAAGAGCAGATTCCTCTTGGAGCCTCTACCCAATACAAAGAACATGGAGTAGAAGTCAAAGCAATCTCCTATGACTATTTTAGCTTGTTATAAAAACTCCCCAAGGATAATACTGCCTAGATTACTCTCAGCATTTACTGTTTGGTCTTCTACTACACTTCCTATCCAAACAGCTTTGTTCTCACACCATTACACCAAACGAACGACTCTGTAGTGTTTACAGTTGAGAAGGCAGCAGCGTTTTGCTGTGTGACATTGTAAACTGATCACAAACACACCAAATAAACACACCAATTTACCCCATATTGTTAAATACAGACACATATTGAAGTATGAAGTCCACATATATAAAAAAATAAGCGGTAGAAGCAAGGGCGTAGGTTTGATTTCAACTTTGGTAGGGACACTATTCTTCAGTTTCATTGATCCTTTGCAAAAATATGCATCCTCTTTTTTATGCTTAATGTGAGCATTTCTTGCTACATTTATACAAATCTTATAAGCACTACATGCACTAGATGCTGTTTATCAATATTTAAAGCATCACTGGCTCTGATGAATGTGGAATTAGGACTTTTTCCACTTTGAAAAGGATTGCATTTAAATTTACCTGCGACTAGGACAGTGTCTGTTAATATAGTCTATAATATATATAGTCTATAATATGTGGATTTATCCTGTGTTTTCTTCTGAAGATATAGAATTGTGCAGAGGTAAAACCCACTC